AGCCTAGTGTTTCACTCCTAGTTTTTCACAAAGTTGCTATTTTTTATCTTTTCACGCATTAAATAGCCTACATTCTTTATTTCGGTATTTTCCATATTACTAAGGGTGGAGTAGCCTAAATGCGAAATAGGCCTAGTAGTAAACTCTGAGCTTCCAACCAACAAAAAGCAGCCCCCAGGCAAAATAAATAAATAATAAATAAATAAACAAATAAACATGCTCATGTCGACATGTTAGAATATGTTCAGCTCAAAATCTGGAAGACAATCCTGTCTGAAAGACTAAAGAGCCAACTGCAGTTAATTTAAGGAAAAGTGAGTTCTAATATTGTAGAGTCAAACATAAAAATAAGTTTTTTTTATAACGGTATTGGGCACGTAGGCCTGTATAAGTTAATGAACAAGTCTTTTTTATTGGAATTGTTGGCTTGCCATGCAGTTTTCTCTAAAATTGTAAATAAATAAATAATCAAAAATGTTTCTCTGTGTTTTAGGTCTGTTTGATGTTAAAACGGATGAAATAAAGTTATCAGTTATGGAAGGAGATTCTGTCACTTTAAACACGGATGTCACTGAAGTACAGAAAAATGATCACATACTGTGGTTGTTTCAAATCAATAATTCAGATACTCGTATAGCTGAAATCCATAAGCAGGTCTTTGATATGTATGAAAGTAATGAGACATTTGGAGACAGACTGCAGATGGACAGTCGAACTGGAGCTCTGACCATCAGGAACATCAGAACTGAACACTCTGGACTTTATAAACTAACAATTATCAAAGGAGGGGTCACATACAAGCGTTTTTCAGTTGCTGTCTATGGTGAGTAAAATTAAATGTTTAATGAAATTAAGCAATCAAGATGGCAGAAATATATCAGTAGATTTGTCATTGATAGTACATGTTTGTTTTATAATTGGAGAAATTAAATATGCTTATGTATAATATAGAATCCATATATATAAAGTAACATGACATTTTACAAATGGTGAAATCTATCTTAAGGTATGAGAGGTTTTGCTGTATTGTGAATATTGTCAAGGCTAATTGGCAGCAAAATGGCATAATGACCAGCTTACGATACACAGCCACCAGTGCCTTATTACTTTTTGAAATCTGATACTATATAAAATATTAAGGACAAATTTTCATTATTTTTCAAGTTTTCCATTTTTCAGACAAATTGATTAAATGAGATGATTTTGCTAGAATGTATATATATAATAATAGAACCATGGTATGGAACAGAAAATCTCCATTCACTCGCTACTGTAATATAGTTCTTCCTCCCACCACATATTATTTCCATCATAGACGTTTTGTGAGTGAACACAAACCTTCTTGAGGGAACGCAAAACTTTTGAAAGTAAATGCAAAAGCATTTATTTACTATTACCATGTCCCTTTTGGGGCTATTCTCTGATATTTCCAGCTCCTCTACCCATTCCTGTCATCACTAGAGGCACTTCAAACTGTTCTTCATCATCATCATCTGAAAGATCATCAGTGTCCAGATGTTCACTGCTGTGTTCAGTGTTGAATGTGAGTGATGTGACTCTCTCCTGGTACAAAGGAAACAGTTTATTGTCCAGCATCAGTGTGTCTGATCTCAGCATCAGTCTCTCTCTACCTCTGGAGGTGGAATATCAAGATAAAAACACCTACAGCTGTGTGCTCAACAATCCCATCAGCAACCAGACCAAACATCTGGACATCAGTCAACTCTGTCAGACATGTATTGGTAAGTCAGAGGTGATATTAAGAGTTTAAAAAAAATTATATTCTTCATGCTTTCCAACCTTGTCTGTTCAAAGCCATGTTAAGTGCGTTGAGAGCTATGGCAACAATGTCCTGATTGAAATCAGACACTTCAGGACTCATAATTATTATCATTCTATTGTTCATTACAGAGCTCCCGCAGTTACAGTCATTGGGATTATCAGTTAGTATAGTGGTGGTGCTGGTCTTGGCTGTAGTTGTGGGGGCGGTATGTTTTCACCGCAGGAAATGCAAACAAGCAACACCAGAAGGCAAGTATTACCCTTTTCATCAAATAATATGAGCATTCTGGGACAAAATCAAGATTTTAAAAGATGTGCCACAATATCTGTTTTTAAACACCATTTCAGACTTATTTGAACAATGTGACATTATCATTAAAACAGTCCAGACTTGTGAGGAAGAGGTACTTTATGCCGAAACAACATTTTGTGCACGTAGTGCTCACAGTACGGTAAGACACTGTATTGCAGTGTGCAGTGAATCTGTCTGCAGAAACCACAGAGGCCGAGAGAAACACATGCGCTTGCACATGTGACAAAGCAGAAAATGTGCCATCCTGTGCTGCTGTCAGTGTTTGTGCTTATTTTTAGCTTAATACCTGCTTGTGCTTGTTCTTTTTCTGCTTAGGCTTCAGTTGTACCTGATACCATCCCCAAGGCACTGTGCAACATCAACTTGAGAAAGCACATTATACCAAAAAGTGTTCTTATTTCTCAGAGCTAGTTCAGTTTAGGAAGGGTGGAGGTTGACATTTTTCTGAATACCATGATTATGCCTCTGAAAAGCCACAGGCATCTGTAACAGACACACAGACAGTGATGCACAGTCATCAGATCACAAAAGCATTTATTATAAACCCTGATTATTCAATGGCAGCTGAATCTAATGCAGGAAATGCAGTGCTTTCCTTGCAGCTCTACAAGGGATTAACAATGAACAGTGTTTCTAAAACACCCAAAAGCACCACAATGTCCTTCAAAAGCCAAAAGCAAAGCTCTGTTTAAAGTCTCCCCTTTGTGGTAGAAATTGTGCATGTACAACTTGCCAGTATTTAAGAAAGTTATTTAAAACAATCAAATAAAACACCATGCTTTTGCTATAATGTCCTGTGCTTGTAATTGTCTTTGTATTCAACCGTTGTCCTTGAGCCGATTTATAGTGTTTATAGTCAAGAAGGATTACAAGAACATTACCAGACCGTTGTAGACACACAAACACTACTTATATACACATACACATACACAATATTTTTGTTGTTTTAGTTTTAATTCCTAACGTTCATGTTTTGATTTCTTTCAGAAACCGGATGAAGAACACCACATCATATACTCGAGTGTTAATGCAAAATGACAGGATCAGTGTATTAGCATTTTGGTGACTAATATGAAACTGGCATGAAAAAGTCATTTTCAAGTATTTCAGGGTCAATGATCTCAAAGTGCATCTTTTAAGGGCAGATTTTCTGAGAGTGACAAATGCTTCACAGTTCCGAATGTGAGTGATTGAAGCCTAGTGTTTCAGTGTCATCAGTATTTTATCACTATATCAGGATCGATTAACATCCTATGTATGTATTATTCATTTCTCTGGAATATTTGATATTGATTGGTCAGTTGGGATTCAGCAGTCAAATATTTCTGAATAATCTCCACTCATCTGAGTAACTCCGTATAACTGTTTAAATGAGTGGTCATCCCTAAAATCTCATAGATATTATTTAATAGTTTATACGTAATATTACATTGGAACTTCAGTGTTTGACGACACTTGTTCTGCAGTCAGCTGTTAGACAAGACATATTCATGCAAGTTCAGCTCTGTTGCTGGAATCTTTCTCTTATACCCTGTTAAACATTCTCAGTAGACACTGACGTCTAAACAAAACCTATTTTCTGTATTTTTTTCTACTATCAGCTCTTTTATAAATGTACTAACTCTGGTATACTTTTTTCTATTATTGGTGTACAAAATATATATTTTTTACAATATTTTGTATACATTTTCTATATTGTTTTTAAATATTTTATTTAGATTTTTGGATAAGTTCTGAACATTTCTGAAATGTATTATACATTTATACTGCATTTATACCTTTGTATTATAATGCCTATTTTGTATTATTGTACCCGCACTTCTAAGGAGATGAAAGTCAAATTTACATGAACAGTTTTTCTGCACATTCTACTAAAATATTTTGGACCTTCTGTGTTCTTGTGGTGCCATCAGCCAATCAACATTGTAAGGATTTTTTCTTTCCTGCAACTCCAGAAAGATTAGTCAGATGACATTTACAGCACTGTGATTGGCTCACATGTTGTTCACAGGAGTCCCCATGAACGCCACATCTACACTCTTAAAAATAAAGGTGCTTCACGATGCCATAGAAGAACCTTTTTGTCTAAATGGTTCCATAAAGAACCTTTAACATCTGAAGAACCTTTCTGTTTCACAAAAGGTACTTTGTGGAGAAAGAAGGTTCTTCAGATTATAAAAAGGTAAGAAAGAGATAGTTCTTTAAAAAACCTTTGACTGAATGGTTCTTTGTGGAACCAAAAATGGTTCTTCTATGGCATCGCTTGAAGAACCTTTTGAAGCACCTGAATGGGAATTTTAACAGTTAACTGTCTTCAGTTCTTATATAGACATTCCTTTTTCACAGATTAGATCCTGAATGTTTGGCGCCCATTTAAATCCAACCCTATCCGACAAGCTTTTACTTGTCTGCTGTTAGTTGTTCAGCTTGTCAGACAGGACATGTTTGTGCAACTAATACTGGGAATTTTCCACTGTATTTTACATTTTTAGCTCTGAGCTCATCAGAAAAAGTTGTGTTCCACAGCACTTTTTCAGTATAGAAAAAGAAAAAGTAAATACTAAATACTGTTTTCTGTAATGTGTCCCCTACTGATCTTGACATACTAATACTGTACTAGTCTCACAGGTAAAGTAGTAATACAATGTAAACAAAACCTTTGTTATCTACATTCTACATTCATGTATTAAACGATCTAAAACAGCACTGACCATGTGTTTATGTTATTATATCAGTGTTGCCTTAATAAAAATAATTTTGCCATGACAAAAAGTATCTAAAAAAAGTATTTCACTGTTTACTGATGACTTTAGCCCCAAAAAATTGTGTCATGTTCTAAAGAAAGATGTCATTGTGAACTTACACAGTAATTACTTGACTAATTCATAAAAGAACCTTGCCTCTGTGCTTATGTCGACTCTGGAGTTGTAAAGCGTGGGGAATTCAAGTCAGTGACACTAGAGGGAGCCAGAGCTTTAAACTATAAACAATGTGCATCTCATCCTAAATAGCATGTGACAATAGAATAAGTCACAAAGCCACAATCCATTGTGCTTTTAAGGAGGATTTGGTTCTGAACTGCAACCACGAATAGAAAGAACTAAGCATTTATACTTCTGACTCATCCCTTTTCTTTAAAAAAGGGTTTATCATTTTTATTATTTTATCTCAACTGTAAATCTATTGCTATTTCGTGGTCTACAACATGAAAAAAAGCCATGTACATGACAAATGTAGAAACGTTGTACACAACTATTGTGCACCACAAGCAACACAACGAAAAAGGAACCTCAAAGTTGATCTTTAGGTAAATGCGTGCAAATGTATAGGGCCCCATTTCTATATTTTGCCTGGGGCCCCCAAATTACTAAATCCGACCCTGTGTAAATAACCATAAAAAAACATATTTTAATTTCAAAACGGCCATAACTGAGAAAAAAGTCAAGTAGTTTGCATCACTGGGTATTACTGTCAGTTAAAATTTGTATTGTAAAAACTGTCTTACGACAGCTAGCAACAGTCAGTTACAGCAAAACTGTTCCATGCATTATGTTTTTCAGCTAAATTAACTGTTTGTTATTTATTTAACAACCCATTTGCTGGAGAGAGATCTACCTGTCGCGACATTTCTTACTGCCTTCTCTTAAAAAATATATTTTTTTATCAAGGTAAAATCTACATATAGTTGGAATAAAAATGAAAATATTGTTTAGTGTAAAATATGTTGAAGATTAGCAAACAGGTTGTCGATTTATTAAATGAAAAGCTGTTTCCTCACAAAAGCTGTTTATTCAATATAGAGAAGCCTCTCCTTCACTGACATCCATTCAAAAAAATATGGCCTCTGGTCTCTTTCCCTGCGCATCGCCAAAGCAGCAGTGTTAGCATTAGCCATTACGCTTTTTTGGCTAAAGGTTGCAGGTTTGCCTTCCAGTGGCTTTGAATTCACTCTCTGCTTCTGTGAACAGTAAAGCCCACCTACTTTGATTTGATTGGTCATCTCAGTCATTTTGACATTGATAAAGTATTGTTAGACCACTAGACCAGCCTAAAGAAGAAAAGTGTGTAGCAAAGCAGTACATCAATTTGCGCAGAATTCGAGATGGTCCTCACTGCAGAACACAAGATCCAGGGGGCGAGGTTGGATCCAGATCCAGCTCCTCCCACCTTACATATACCTAAACCTACCCGTCTCCACCCCTTGATCCATAAACCCACCCATCTCCACCCCCTAAATGTGGATCCAACCATGCCCCCTGGATCTTTGTTCTGCAGTGACGGGCTACTGCTACTGCTAGAGTAAGCTTCCCTATTTTTGCAAAGTCAAACCATGACCCATCATGGATCCTGATTCAGCTGCCATGAGAGATTGATATCAACATTACGCATTAGCTAGCAGGGTTACATTTAAATGCTTCTCCTCCTCGTCAGTGATTGGTGAGAAAAATTGACATCACAAAATATTCCGTAATACTGTTTTTATTTTCCAATCAGCAGATGTTATGCGTGAGTGTGTGCATAAAGGGACATAAATATATTAAGTTCCGTTATGTAATGGTTATGTGATTGACCTGTGTTTCTCTGTTATCTTGATTGTGGTTCAAGCTCTGGTGGCTTTATGTAGGATATGGGATGTGGGGGAAGAGTAACTTTAAACTCATACAGAGAGGAAGTAGATCATAGATGATGGAGCTGATGTAGGAAATTACAACTGTTTGCAGGACAGACTAGATATGCAACTATTAAAATAAGAGCTAATTAATTCTCTGAATGATTTATTTGATAAGTGTAAAGCTACATAGTGTGTAAAGCTACATACAACTTTTTTATTATTATTTTTTTTTTATGTATCATGAAAAAGGATTCAACAACATGTGGTTCGACCTTTGCGGCCTTTGAAGGATGCAGCCTCTGAATTGGGACACAGCTATTGTACTATGAATGCGAGAAAGTACCTAAATAAAAGCCAACTGCCAATTGATAAAGCCATCACGTCACAGCAGCTGCCTTTAGAAGTTCTGGTTTGCATAAAAACAAAAAGTGCCCTGAGATGTGTGCCTAGAAAAGCACACACGCACATTGCCTGGACCAACCTGAAATACAAGCTTTATAATGCTATTTGAGCATAAGAAAAACTTTATTAGAAAACTTGGTTAAACCAAAGCAAAATGCACTGAATTATTTTATCTGAGAAATTGTGGTTCAGCAGGACTTGCATCATACAATCACAAGGTGCACATATAAAAACCTGACCACAATAGCAGGCCATGCCTTTCCAGAGCAGTTTTTTTAGTATAGACTATAGACTGTCTAGAGATCAAAATCTGATTCTGCATAATTTACTCTATATCATTTTTGCATGAGAGAAAGATGCAAGGGCATCTTTATGATTTTACATTCTGTGCCTTTAAAACTGTATCAGTGTGCAAAGAGCTTTAAAACCACAAAGTTTTGTAAACCAAACATATGCAGTTACTGTAGCATTGCCACTACAGTATTAACTGTATATAGCCATTGGAAATGGCATTAAAGTTGTCATGTTTGTCACAAAATTGTTTTGCACTGAAGAAGTTGTGCACAAGGGCCATTTTTGAAATGCAGAATGAACATGAGATGTTTTGTGCCTTTACTAGCAGCTCGGTGTTAGATTCAAAATGATACCTGTGGTCAGAACTATTTAGGTCAGTGTGGGGTCTCAAGCGTTTTTGTTGCTGTTGTTGAATGCAGCAGCAGGTGTTTTGGCGTATACCTATTATTGGACACACAAGAGTGCACTTGAGTGTTAGTGTGTATAAGGTGTATTTGTGGCCACAGCGAGTGCTTTGCTCAAGCTCTTGTGAAACTCCCTTACCACCCTTTGTGCTTCACTGAGAACAAATGTAGTGAGAACGGTTCAGAGAACTGGAATACATACTTTAAATACAGGTACAGGTAAAAGATCAGCTTGAAATGAGAGTAGTGTTTAGAGACATTTACAAAGGAATGCTTCTCTTTAGTGTTTCTCTTCAGCTTCACCATCATTATTCTAGATAAATAACACCCATTTGATCAGTATAGGATCAAAACAGTTAAAATTGTATTGTGTTGAATGTAGCTTGTCATTAAGATCTGGAGCTTGGGGAAAAGCATCATGCTTCAAAACTAAAAAAGTAAATAGCAAGAAACTTTTTGACCTGATGGTGGCATTAGTTTGAGTTTGAAAGACCCAGAAAACAGATTATAAACATATTTCATTGTTTGGCCACAAATTGCATTTCCACAATTAAATATGTAAACGATTGAAATAAAAGTAATAAGAAGCATTGTAAGTGTAATAAAATTTGGTTTCCTGTTGTTTAATGTTTCAAAACTGAGCTGATGTCTTAAAAAGGATGCTACATTAATAAACATATTTTGATTCATATTCTCCACAGTTATGATTTTTCAAAGTATTGCAAATATGTTTAACCTTAACCATCCGATGAGAAAGTTGACAAGGATGTTGAGCTTTAGCTGAAAAGGAAATGGTGGCCTACCAGAAACCAAGGTGTCAACAGAAGAAAAAAAACTTCTAGAGGTTAACTGAGAGGAACAAGGCTGTTACAGCTTCTCGGTGGTTTAGGGGTCATGCATTAGTGCTGTGTGAAATAGCATACTACCATTTTCCTCTGTTCATGCAGTATGTATGTACACAGTGAACATTGGCTGAATTTCTGTGTGATTACCTGAAAGCTTCCTGATGTTATGTAAACTCTGTGGTTTGCATTGCAAATTGCATGTTGGTTCACTTAGACTCTCACAGACACAGGTGCATTGTTATGTCCCATCCTAGAAAAAGAGAAAAAGAACGTAACATGAGATGTTCGCTATTCATTATTTTAAGCTGCCATGACTTCATGGGGACCAAAGGCAAAAATAACCAACAAAAGAAGTCATCAAATATAAGTAAATTGATTAAATGAAACAAAAATACAAAAGTACAAAGTACCTCTCGAACTACCTGACAAAAAAAAATTAAATCACAAACTAATCCAAAAATAAACGTCAGGTCATCCCTCTACACATTATTATACATCATTATATGTATCTAATAATGTCTGTAGCAACTCTGAACATGAACAGGACACATCTGTATCAAACATGCGTTAGATACACTACAATTTGGATCTGTCGATGGGAGGAGAATCCATGGAGCTCTTCACGCCAAGAGGGCCAACATTAAAATGAATACCCTGTCTACAGACCTTTTAAAGGTTTGTGCTACACGATCCGCCAAACATGATCTTCCATCTGGCAACCAATCCTGCAGGGATCACACACATAGCTGTCATTTTCAGAAGAAACTAGCAAAGTCCATTGCTGAAAATGTGCATGCCTTGCATAAATGTGTTTATGTGTGTACACTGTATAAAAAAAAAATCCGTAAAATTTACGGTAAAAAACCGGCAGCTGTGGTTACCGGGAATTTTACCGTAAAAAATACAGTAGCAACGTTTTAGGTTTTACGGTTTTAACTTAAATTTACAGTTAAATATCGTAATTTAATTTGATATAATGTTAATATACCAACCTATTGAAGTACTGAAATCTGTTTTGTACCTTTGTAATACACTGATAACCACCAAATGCAGGTGGTGATGAGACAGTCACATGATGAACCAAAGCCCATCACAAGCAGCTTTTAGATAATAACATATATAGAAGGTGCACAGTGTCATTCATACAAACACCAAACACCATCATGGTAACACACATGAAACTGAAATAATGCAATAAACATTCATTTAACAACATTAGGTGTAACACACAACCCATACAAAACTGATAAGACAAAACTAAGAAGAAACATAGTTATTTCAACAAAAAAACATAACATTTTAAATGTAACGCAGGGAATTCTGGGAATGTCAATTTACGGTTATTCATTGTAAATTATACGGTATTTTTCGCTTCCAAAAACGGTATACTACCGTAAAATTGATGTCCAATACATGTAATGTCCAGTACAGTTTTTCACCGTATATAGTAGGGGAATTTACCGTTAACCATTTAACAGGCTTTTACTGTAGCATTTTTACAGTCTTTTACCGTTAAATTCACGGTCATTTTTTACAGTGTAGCAGGAGGAGAGCTTCCCAGATAAAACATGGCTCCTCTCAAGGGTTTTTCTTTATCAACATGTGCATCTCAAAATTCCACTGGCACAAACATTTTAAGCACTGTTCTTGGATCTGGGCCAATAAATAAGGTCAATAATGCTATAAAAATAAATGGAATTGACGGGCCCTTAATAAATGATTCAACTCAGCAGCAGGGATGCAAACAAAAGACGATCAGACTTATGGATGAACTCTATAACCCTACACTGATCAGCTGCTTCATTTTTATTGAGAAAGAAAGCATTGATTTAAGCATTGATGTGGAAGCAAGTATGGTCAATTATTATTATTATTATTATTATTACTATTTTTATTATTATTTGGCAAAACTATTTTACAAAACGACAAATAAATATTAAAACTATTCATTTAAAAAAAAATACTTTTAAAGATTAGGAATTAAGAGAGAGATTCGCACTAAACTTTTTAAAAAGTTTATTTGTAGTAGAGAACTTAGCGCTGTTTGTACTAGTAGAGACGAAGATGCTGATTACTATAAACCAGGGGTAAAGAGAGAGAGGGAGGGGTGTAAGTGTAGCGTAATGCTGACTTTCCTTTTTCAGAACCGAACATTCAAACCTAATGGAACAATCTTCATAAAGCCTAATTGGATTATTTCTCGCTAGTAAACGTTTTTTTAATTCTTGGACGTTGTTGCTGAAGAGGTGACGGAACACGTTAGCTTCATCTGAGAATGGACATTCTTTTTGTAAGCAGAGGACCTCGATGAATTTGTTTTTCACACGCACTCAGCTTTCGCGTCATGTTTAGCATATTGTTGGGTGTTTATGAAGAGGTTAAGAAAAATGATTCACAGCGCATCGTTCTTCTGTCTGTGTCTTTTCCTATCGACTGGTACGTTATAACATACTTTTTTTTTGTATTACAATTTCTCTGGAATGTTATATGCAAATAAGGCATCATCTAATTAAATATGAACTCAATTGCATACATTTCTACAACAAAAAAATCTGAATATTGAATAATGCAAGGTTCAGAATTCTTGCCGGAAAAAAGGAATAATAATAATAATAAACCTTCGGAATATAAAACTGTAAAATCTGATGCATGTACGTTTTTTTTGCCTGAAGTGTCTTGCCTTAAGAGCAATAACATTTGTCCTGGTGGATCTTCCTCATTAATATTCTGTTTGAACTTAAACAGGTTTTTCATTTGCTATATAAACTGTTTTTCTCCAGGTGTGTTTGCTGATACAGATGTAATAAAGTCAGTATCAGTGCTGGAGGGAGATTCTGTCACTCTAAACACTGATGTTAAAATGCAGAGAGATGATCAGATGCTGTGGATGTTTGGACCTCAAGAGAGGCGAATAGCTGAAATCCACAGACAGAACATCTATATAGATGCCACTGATACAATATTTGAGAAAAGACTCCAGATGGACAATCAAACTGGATCTCTGACCATCAGAAACATCAGAACTGAACACACTGGACTTTATAAACTACAGATCATCAACAACAGAGGAACTTCAAACAAGAGGTTCAATGTTACTGTCTATGGTGAGTAACTGGTGTCCTGCCCATGATGATCCAGACTGTGATGATTCTCAAAATTAAAACATTTTTTCTTCAGATTCATCTGTGATTTATAAGCATTTAATGACAAACCAAAGTGTGAGTGAAACTTATTTTCTACACCCTGTTTTGCAAGGCAGTTCTCTCATAATGGCTATTGTTTTATATTTCCTGATGGAAATACGTAAGAATAGAAGGAAGAAAGACAATAGTGTTGAAGTTTTACGTACAATAATAGTAAGAAAAATCTGTAAAGCCACATTTAGAAAGAGAAAGAGAATTTTATTGTTATAGTTTCGATGGTTAAATTGGTGTAAGAATGAAAAGTCAGTTTAGTATGCAAATATAACTGGCATCATCACCAATGTCTGTTACATTTTGAAAGCATCAGAAGTCAAAGAAAAAACAAACACAAACAAAATCAAGAGGAAGAGATACTTTATGCTGATACAACATTCTGTGCATATCAGGTTAAGAGTATGGTAAGATATATTGTATTTCTGTGTGAACTCTGCCTTTTGTGCATGTGTAAACACCCTCAGCTTCTTTAAATACCTGAAGTCTGTTGTGTATGTGTCTGAGAATATGCTATCACACTGCTCTGTTTCTCTCTGATGTAATGATTTATATTTCCTGATGGAAATACGTAAGAATAGAAGGAAGAAAGACAATAGTGTTGAAGTTTTACGTACAATAATAGTAAGAAAAATCTGTAAAGCCACATTTAGAAAGAGAAAGAGAATTTTATTGTTATAGTTTCGATGGTTAAATTGGTGTAAGAATGAAAAGTCAGTTTAGTATGCAAATATAACTGGCATCATCACCAATGTCTGTTACATTTTGAAAGCATCAGAAGTCAAAGAAAAAACAAACACAAACAAAAAAATAAACACAAATATGGGTAGCAAAGGCAGAGTTTTTCTGTTCAATTGTTTTTGCTGAACAACTTTTTTATTTGTAATGTTTTTTCAGCTGCTCTTCCTGTTCCTGTCATCACCAGAGACTCTTCAAAATGTTCTTCATCATCAGGATCATCAGGTCAGAATTGTTCACTGCTGTGTTCAGTGTTGAATGTGACTGATGTGAGTCTCTCCTGGTACAAAGGAAACAGTTTATTGTCCAGCATCAGTGTGTCTGATCTCAGCATCAGTCTCTCTCTACCTCTGGAGGTGGAATATCAGGAGAAAAACACCTACAGCTGTGTGCTCAACAATCCCATCAGCAACCAGACTCAACACAACATCAACATCAGTCAACTCTGTCAGCCATGTCCAGGTATCACATTATCTCTTTTCCTCTAATTGTGTTAAATTAATAAAAATAGTATATGTGCTATGTGCTGTCTATAGTCTAAACGTCTATGTGCTTTGAGGTGTTCTCTCATCTGTAATGTTATTTACATATTGACAGTTCATTGTTAGCAGATATGATCATATACAAGTATTTGTCTAGCCAGTCAAGGTGTGACATTTCTGTTAAATGAAAGCCTGCTTGCAGTTTATGCCTTTTGTCCCACCCTAAATCCTGTTTCAAAAGGAAATACTTTAACAAAGTAAAAAAAAATAAAAACAAGTGCATCAAATAATTTCTTCAGTAATTGTAAATTCTGCAAAATATCAGACATGTTGGGAGTGATAAAGTAAAGACCCAGTTTAAATGTTAAAATATTAAAGTGCTTTACTTATATTAAATGCTTAGGTAAAATGTTATAGTAATGTAATAGATTCTATCACCATAATGACTTATTTTTAAAGAATAAACTATTAAGATTACACTATTGTCTCTTTTCTGTGCATTACAGAATGGGAAGAGGGTTCACGTCTCAACATTTCAATAGTTGTTATAGCGCTCCTGCTGGTGTTCATAGCTGTAGTTGTAGGTTTGATGTACTGCCACAGAAAGTGTAAACAATCGGAAAAAGAAGGCAAGTATTGACATGCAAAAAAAAAATATATATATATATATACATATATACAGTATATATAATAGAAAAGGTTTGTTAAATGTAGTTAAGTTTATTAAATGTGTGATTATTATTAAAACAGTTAAGGCTCAAGAGGAAGAGATACTTTATGCTGATACAACATTCTGTGCATATCAGGTTAACAGTATGGTAAGATATATTGTATTTCTGTGTGAACTCTGCCTTTTGTGCATGTGTAAACACCCTCAGCTTCTTTAAATACCTGAAGTCTGTTGTGTATGTGTCTGAGAATATGCTATCACACTGCTCTGTTTCTCTCTGATGTAATGACGCTGAAAGGTTTTCTTCAGTCATTCTGCTCAACTGTGGGAAATAGAGCTGCTGTTTTAAATTTTTCTGTCCTTCACTTTTATAATTCAGTGTGTTTGAACCTACTCGATTTTATTTTTGATTGTGATGTTTCCTTGCAGGATGTCATTGCAGCAGATCAAACAGAATATTCAACTGTTAAGACATGAAAGACCGATCAAGCTCAGCCATCTTGTAGGACATTTCAATTCTCTAATTGCACCACGAGGATCGAGGATTGAGGATCGAGGAGGCTTCCTGAGGAGTCATGAGCGAGGAAACACAGGTGTATCCTATGCGGAAGTCTTTTTTGGGCAAAAAATGACGCACATATAAATGCTCCTCCTCCTTCACATATGTTGTAATAATTTACATTTATATTTTACCTTTGCAGTTTAAATAAACCATACATGTCATATATTTCCACGGGGCATCTTGCTTTATTATTATTGATTATGAATGCCTTAAATAACGAACTTCAACAACATAAGGGCAGATGGTGACGCTTTAAGTGACACTTGAGTGGACAAGAATATTCCAATGTTCATGATTCCTCCGTCCTCATTTCCTTTACTTGTATCCTTCCCTCATATCCTAAGGGGGGTAGAGCTAAGATGCGAGGAAAGGAAATGAGGATGCACAAATAAGAAATGAGAAGCACCACCGATGTCACTTTGATAACACTGGTGTTTTCCCCTTATATGTGTTTCATTACATTTAATTTAGGAGCAGCTAAAGTTAAAGATTATTTTCAGATTAGTGAGGTAGTTTTTGTAAATATGTAAATTTTCATTTCACTCCACATTTCACAATATTATTTTGTATGTTTTTATATATTTTGTAACACTTTAGGAGTGGGTGTCATATGTCATTTCCATCAGCAGTTTAGACGATATAATTGTGTGTCACGTTAATAGTGATGCACAAGATCTGATTTGAGCAGCCAGAGCATCAGGACTGAGACACGATTGCATAAACCCCCTCCAAATGTGGTTTAATCAGATTTAAGTTTTTTTTTTTTTTGGTGCTTATCTGAATAATATCTGGATATGCAAAAATCTGATATCCCCCCTTCATAGTAGTCTGTCTATCTTGGTGCCACAACATTTTCTACCACAGGAATAATTCTTTTTTTTTCTTTTTTCTTTATCAAATCTCCAACACACAGAGATACAGTGATTATGCACACTAAATATTCCAGGCTACAACACATTAAAATAATAAATACAATAACACCAGATATATGAAGCCAAAGCAAGCAGGTTTCCAGAAGCAGCAACAACTTTTGAGCATATACAGCTCCCTTAAGGGGTTTAGTTTAAGTAGTTTTATTATTAGAAGGTCTTCTTTCTGCTCCTAGAAGAGGAGAATCACCAGGACTGGACTGGTGCTAAAATTCAGCCCATCTGGCCCACACAGTCCCCCATAAATGTTTTGCTGGGGTTAGGGCAATTGGAATAAATTATTTATTAATAAATAACAGACGAAAACAAATGATATTTTTGAATTCTTAAAATGCACTTAACAATATTAATATTCCATTATATTGCAGGTTCTTAATTATTGAATTTATATTTTTCTGCAATTAAAGTTAGAACTATTAAATTCTCCTTTGTAGTTGCCTCAATGAAAAGCTAATTCTTGAATCCAGAGTAAACTATAGTATTAGTAAACCTTTATAAAAGTGATTTATTGCCTTTATTTGACCCAATAATAGGCAATAAATAGCATTTAAGAATTTTCGTGACATTAATATTAAATATAATTAATGCCATATTTCTACAGTGTCGGCATGTTAAATAGCCTAGGTGTGGGGCTGTGCAGATTAAATTGCTTATAGCTTCACTGTTCACATATAAGCAGGGCCTAAAACTAACTTTTTGCCACACCTGCCAATGGCCCGTGACGTGATAAAATTTACCGGCCAAAATTTTTTTTTACCAGCCATGAAACTCTTTTTGCAAAAACAGGCAGTCATTACTACTACAATGACTAAACATATTTACAATGTTTTTAATTTGTCCTTTACTTTACTTACAAGAAAAAACAACAAGCAGATTTATTGATTTATATATATATTTTTTTGTCCCTAAAAAAGGTTGAGATTCTTGTTCGGCAAACGGAGCAGGCCATCGTGTTACACCTGTTTCACACATACTCAGTATGTGGCTTCAATAGTGTAAACAAGTAAATTTTTATTTTACGAGACATTTTTATCGCTCATATCTTTTTGGACTGAAATAGCGCAGACATATGTGGGGGCATAGTGGGGTTTCGGCAATCGGCACACTGGGAAAAGCTGGGGTGCTTCTGATGGCCTATCAATTCTACGTCTGCTTTTCCTTTCCTCCACAGCCAATCACTTCGGGCCCCCTTCAGCCCCGCCTAGCCCTTATGTTAATCCGGCCCGGCCAGTGTCCTATATTGGTGACTATTAAGTATCTCTTCACCAACCATCTTTTAACTTGAACTTTGGCCTTCAAGACTGGCACTCTGGGCCAGCACCTTTCCAGGTTTATACTGTATGTGCCCTCCCTTTCTCTGTGATCAGTGAATGAGCAGCACCTACTGGCTCCATCAAAATGAAGTACAAAGTTACTTTTCAGAACCTTCATCCTCTCTGTTCCTCGGTGTTGAAAGAAGCTTCCAGTCTCCACAATCAGCTGAGACCTTCACACTTCACACTTTTAAGAAAAAGCTGAAAGTACAGCTCTTCCATGAACACTAACCACAAAGGCACTTGCTATTACAGTTTTTCTCGATTGCTAAAACACTAGAACCAGGATTTTGAACTAAAATTCTAAACCATAACGGCATTTTTAAAAAAGCACACCCATTTCCCTAAACTATAAACATGCTTTGACACACGAGTCAGATTTGGTAAACGGTTACTGCAAAACTCTACACACAAATCTCTAAATTTCTCAGTGCTTACACCATGTGGTCATTTAGAAAGCACTAGCATTCAATATTGTTCACTCAAGTCAGCACAGTTTGAGCTCAATTAGCACACAATAAGTGAAAACACTAGTGGTCAAAACTTATCACACACTCTAATAAGAACCTTCGATGGATAGATAAAAGGGCCAAAGTCAGCTCATTCATGCTGACTCTTTGTGATTGTAATGAAAACTAATGGGTCTTGTCACATAACAATGTACCATTCAGTAAATTGCCTGAGAAATTTTAAAGAATGTGCAATGAGAAGCAAGGTAGTTTTCGTAATTCTAGAAGGTGTTGAAATATGATGTGAGCTCCATCATTTGTGAGATTCACAATAAAACTCAATACTAATACATATAATATATTTCAATAATAACAGATCAATTTTATCACCGTGTGTGCAGCATAGGTTAGCACTTAATTTTACATATGAAGTGCTCTTCTCTTACCTTTTGATATTTGAGCTAATTCCGGTTAGCTCCAACCACCTCCAACACAGTTGCCTAAGAGTTTGTAGTAAATCTGAAAAGCTTGATTTGCTGGTTTAAGAGTGTTTAATTAGGGATGCTAAACTCTGCAGGACAGTGGCTGCCAAGGAAAAGGGTTTGGACACCCCTGAACTAATGTAAAGGAAGTTAAATGCCGCTCCCTACAGCACACAGAGCATTAGTAACTGTCCCAGTTGACAGCAGTGTGTGCTGTTATGAATATTTATGTTAGATCTTTTGAGAAAAGTATGCACTGCAACATCTTTTTTTTCAACTCTCATCATCTGTGATGAGCCACATAATGGACTAATAAATCCACAGTGGAGAGAACACAAACTATTAGAGTCCATCATTGAATAAAGGACTTGCTGTTTTTGTCCACTGAGTGGCAATAAAAGCAAGATTTATGTTTATTTAGCTTCTAACTCCACTGAACACCTTCGGCTTTATAGTCACGGGACCAAATGTCCCCACAAGGATAGTAAAACCTGACATTTTTGACATTGTGCGGTCCCCAGGAGGGGAAAAAATTATTAAAAATAGTAAATAATGTTTATCTGAAACGTAACAACGCAAACAGGTTTTCTGTAAGGGCTAGGTTTAGGGTTAGGGTTGGGTTAGGCCAACCCAACATAAAATTTCTCATAGTTGATAAAAGAATACACAGTTTTATTAATTGCTTACAGTTAAATACAATAAAACTGTAATGCAAGTTACAAACACATATAAAACGTCTTGGGTTACGCATGTAATCATGGTTCCCCGAGAGGGAACAAGACGCTGCGTCCCCCTCTAGGGGACACATTGGGGAATGCTGCCAGCATGACCGGTGTCTGAAGCACATGTAAAATAACTCCAGTCCTATCGGTCCACATGGCCCGTGACGTCATAGGTGGGTACCCGAATGTATAAAAGGGCACCTGCTGAATTCATCACCAACTTAGTTGTCTGAAGGAGACATAAACAGGCAGGCCGAAGGCATGGTGAGGGGACACATTGGGCAACAAAATCCAACCATGCTATGCCGAGGAGCATGCCTGTCCACCTGGTGAGAGAGCATCAGTGAGGTGACAGACATACACCAAGCATTTCCTCAGAAAGCAGCCAAGCCACTGATGCCTCGGGCTGCTCACATAACTTGGCAGAAACGAGGGAGCCCGATTCAAGATAAAGGGGACATACTAACCAAACTAGGAACACAACCATCCTTAGATAGCTATGCTATGTGAGCAATAGCCTGTATATATAAGACCACTGAAGAGGCTGAACTAGAAGCCTCTAGAGGAGCTCAAGAGATTGATACTAACAAACCCAGGGTAAGGAGAGTAGTTGCTGAGCTAGAACACAGCTATCCTCAGATAGCAATATCCTAAGGGTCTTATGAAGGCTCGTAGACCAAGAATAAATAATACACAGCTAGCCTAGATAGCCAGGTAAAACTTTCTGCAAAGCTACCCAGACCACAGAGAGTGGGCTATCTATGATATGATATGATATAACACTTTATTGTCAGACGAGTCTGAAATCTTTCTTGCATGACAGTATCTGTGTTTACAACAATCAGCATCCTTTAAACAACAACATGCACTTCATCCAGACACAAACAAAACACAATATACATTACACTCCCTTAAATATTACATTATGCCTTACCCTCCTAATACACTTCTACAACTACACGATGTTCACATTACTCTTGATTTTTGATTAAGTGTCTTATTCAGCTCCAGGATCGCCTGATGCACAAAAGAATGACCATAAGCTTAAGCGTCCACAGGGTAACAGAATAACAGTGACAGAACAAAAAAAACACAGATAATAAAAAATTTAAGTGAGTGAATAAATAGTGTGTTCCACAGTTATTGTCAAGTGTTCATGAGATGGATTGCCTGAGGGAAGAAACTGTTCCTGTGTCTGGCCGTTCTGGTGCTCAGAGCTCTGTAGCGTCGACCAGATGGCAACAGTTCAAAGAGGGAGTGTGCTGGATGTGAGGGGTCCATAGTGATTTTGCCAGCCCTTTTGCTCACTCTGGATGAGTACAGTTCTCATTTCTCTGGATGAGTATAGTTCTCAGAGAGAAGGGAGGGTTGTACCAATGATTCGCTCAGCAGTCCGGACTACCCTCTGTAGTCTTTTGAGGTCAGATTTGGTAGCTGAGCTGGATGTGTATTTTCCCAGCCTCACTAGCTGCTGTCTGTCTGTCAGGAAGCTGTTGATCCACTGACAGACGGAGGTGGGCACGGAGAGCTGAATTAGTTTGGGCAGGAGGAGGTTTGGGATGATGGTGTTAAATCCTCACATAAGTCTGCATGTTGCAGAACATAATGCAGTCCCATGTTGACTGCATCGTCCACAGACCTGTTTGCTCTGTAGGCAAACTGAAGAGGATCCAGCAAGGGTCCAGTGATGTCCTTCAGGTGGGCCAGCACCAGTTTTTCAAAAGACTTCATGACCACAGACGTTAGAGCCACAGGCCTGTAGTCATTAAGTCCTGTAATTTTGGATTTCTTTGGGACGGGGATGATGGTGGAGCGTTTGAAGCATGAAGGGACTTCGCACAGCTCCAGTGATCTGTTGAAGATCTGT